GAAAAAGAATAAATATATTAGAGATCTTGTGAGCCAAGTTCCTCACGGCTGGAGTGCAAGCTACAGTTCAGGAAAGTTACAGAACAAAGGACTCCCGCAGCGTGGCACTGGAGTGCAGTTACCAGCTGTGAACCCTCAGTGAAGTGTACAGGCACAGGCTTGTGCTGTATGCCGCATGTGGAAAAGCTCGTTAACTGGCCCTGTCTGCAGGGAGGGCCTAGGAGCACTGACTTCCCGGCAGCGCTGAGCACACTTGGGACCCACACCTTGACTTCTAAATACCGCCCTCCCGAAAGAAGCCAGGACTCTCTGGATGGCTATTTCCAGGGAGGGTGAAAATTAGCCAGAAAGTAAGGAAGTGCTCTCAGAAAGAGGGGGCATCTCAGAAAGGGCCCTGGAGGTAGCTCAAAGTGGCTCCCAACTGGGTATAATACAAGCATCCAAATAAACAGATATGAGCTGAATAAGCATTTACGAGTCCAATGAATACAAATGAAAACGAATAGATGAATGCCTTACAATGGAAAGCCAACTAATAAATGCAGGAAGAGTGACAGATAGTCATGCAAACAAACAAATGAAAACGCAGAAGGAAATGCATCAAATTGGGGTCTTTCTGAGTGACAGGTTTAATTGTGAATTTTCTTGATCCCCAGCCAGAATTTCCAAATTTCTTCAATAATATGTAATGTTTTTCTAATCAGACTAAATAAATGCTAGTCAAGTCAAATTTAAAAGTAAATATGAATCAGCTGCCTCAGGAGGGAACTTGTGCCTCACCCCTGGTCTTCTCTAACACGCACAGATGGGCGACTTTTCACAGCAGTTGGCTGAGCCACCAGCTTGTGGAAAGAGTGTGGTCTGGGGGTGGGGCACCGTCTCCCGGAGGTGCCGTGCTGAAAAGAGGGGCTCACAGGCCCAGATCTGGAAGCCCTGGGCCCACATCTCGCCTCTGCTCACCAGTCAGCCCATCCCCACTCTGACCCTCAGACTCTTCATCTGTGAAATGGAGGTGAGCCTCATACCCGCCCCTCATTGTCCATGGAGATGAGAGGACTTGAGGGTGTGGACGCACACCTCTGCCAGGCCTTCCCAGGGGGCGCAGTGGTGAAGAATCCCCCTTCCCAGGGGGCGCAGTGGTGAAGAATCCCCCTTCCCAGGGGGCGCAGTGGTGAAGAATCCCCCTTCCCAGGAGGCGCAGTGGTGAAGAATCCCCCTTCCCAGGGGGCATAGTGGTGAAGAATCCCCCTTCCCAGGGGGCGCAGTGGTGAAGAATCCCCCTTCCCAGGAGGCGCAGTGGTGAAGAATCCCCCTTCCCAGGGGGCGCAGTGGTGAAGAATCCCCCTTCCCAGGGGGCGCAGTGGTGAAGAATCCCCCTGCCAGTTCAGGAGAGACAGGAGACTTGGGTTCAGCCCCTGGGTCGGGAAGATCCCATGGAGAAGGCAATGGCCACCCGTTCCAGTTTTCTTGCCTGGGAAATTCTGTGGACAGAGGAGCCTGGTGGGCTACAGTCCACGGGGTCGCAAAGGGTCAGACGTGACTGAGCACGCACACATGCATGGCCACGTACCCCAGGGCTCCGCCGTCTTTCAGGGCAAAGGAGACCCTGCGAGGCCTTGAAAATCAGCTCTCACAACAGCCTACAGGCTGCTCTGCAGACCCGCCCATGTTGTGCAGTTGTGATCTCAGGCCACTCTCAGAGATCTCACTGAGGAGGCTGATGAGGGGCTGGGGAGGCCGTATTTAAGGTGCATGCAGGCAGTGGAACTGGAAGGCCCCTCTCTGACCTGCCCAGGGAGGCCAGAGCCCAGCACTCCCTGACCAAGGGCCAGTGCCCTCCTGGACATCAGAGTGGGCTCCCTGTCCCCCGCTCGCTGCCCCGGCTCCTGGTCCCCCTTCTGCTCCCAGACCTCTAGGCTGTGTTTAGGTCTGAGCCGTTCAGCTTCCACTCCTCTGTCTACTGCCCGAAGAGCCCAGCCTTTGGGCCCAGCGGCCCCCAAACCCAGGACTTCTGGTTCTGCGTCCGGAACAAGGGGAGGGCGGGTGAGTGCCGGCCACCCTCGACCCAGGAAGGCCCCACTCCCACCGGGGGAGGTGGGCAGTGTCGCAGGGCCGGACCTGCAACGACCCCCAGCCGTGCAGAGGACAGGCTCTGCGTCCAGAGAAGCCTTCGTGACGGGGATTCACGATTCCTGGAACGAGGGCCTCTGGCAGCCTCTTGCACACATATTCCTCGATTTGACCAGGAGCGTCCACTGTCTTGGGGGAGCCGGAGTGCTGACACAGAAATACAGGGAAGGAGTTGATACTCTGCTTTCAATGTTCTGAAGGGGTTACAGAGAGGCAAAGCTCTTGAAAACTAAAACTGTACTTACTCATATCCGGCCCTGCAGCCTCAGATCACAGGCAGAGGTACCTGGCACGGTGCACAGGTTGCACACTGCACAACTCAGGAGGGTCTGCAGAGCAGCCTGTGGGCTGTCGTGAGAGCTGGTCTTGGTGCTGGACCTGAGACACAGCCACAGGGAAGGGCAGCGAGGACGCCATCAGGAGAGCGTGCGCCAGAGTGAGGAAGTGGGGATCCCTCACGGTGAGGACACAGTCAGTGCTGGGGGACATGGACAGTGCCAAGAGGAACACGGTCAGTGCCAGGAGACTTGGGGAGGGGAGCCCCAGAAGCCCAGATTCAGCAGAGGAGGGGTCGGGGTGTTGGGGCAGGTTCGACCTCCCCCAGACCCACTGCTCTCAGGTCCCATCTGCGCCCTGAGGCTCACGGGCGCCCAGTGCACCTGGGCAGTACCAGCTGCTGACCAGCCACAGCCTGATGGCCGGGGTAGGGGGTGGGTGCTGTCCTGCAGCAGAGGCCGCCCTGAGCAACCGCAGCCCCTGAGACGGACTGGCAGCCCAGCGGTGAGAAGCTGGGCTCGGCAGCTGCCCCAGGCCCCCCAGGATGGGCAGCTGGGAGGGGAGCTGGCAAGCAGTGCCAGGTTCCCCGGGTTGGAAAGAGGGAGTGGGTGGGCTGGCGCAGCAGGAGCCAGAGACGAGGGCCCTGGCGTGTCCAAGCCTCCCGCCCATGCCTCTGCTTCCTCTTCTGTAAGTCGCCCAGCGGTGCCTCAGCGGCCTGTGGGCCTGGGGAAGGAGACCTCAGGCTCCTGACCATGGCCTGGTGCCAGTGACATCCTCTTTCCCCTGGTTTCACCCGAGCTTGAACACGTCTCCAGGTGCAGAGGCTGACCCGGGCCCTACCCGCGCAGGTCACCCTGACTGCCCACCTGCAAGGTTAGCTGTGAGCCGCTGAGCCGGCCAGGCCTCCAGGATCCAGCCAGTCCCGGCCTCTCCCTCGGTCTGTGGCCCAGAGCACACCTACCGCCCAACTCCCACCAGACCGGCCCCAGGATGACCTGCCTACCTCAGACGGCGGGGAGGCCTGGCCTGCTGCAGCCCACGGGGCCAAAAAGAGTCAGACACAGCTGAGCAATGGAACAACTGACTGCTGTCATGATTTTGAGACATTCTGTCCCACTTAATAAGCCATGAAATTAAATGATGTTTACTCCTTGGAAGAAAAGCTATGACAAACCCAGATAGCATATTGAAAAGCAGAGACATCACTTTGCAGAGAAAGGTCCGTATAATCAAAGCTAGGGTTTTTCCAGTAGTCATCTATGGATGTGAGAGCTGGACCATAAAGAAGGCTGAACGCCGAAGAATCGATGTTTTCAAATTGTGGTGATCCCTTGGACAGCAGGGAGATCAAATCAGTCAATCCTAAAGGAAATCAACACTGAATATTCACTGGAAGGACCAATGCTGAAGCTGAAACTCCAATATTTTGACCACCTGATGTGAAGAGCCGATTCAGTGGAAAAGACACTGATGGTGGGAAAAATTGAAGGCAGGAGGAGAAGGGGTTGACAGAGGGCAAGAGGGTTCGGTGACATCACTGACTCGATGGACGTGAGTTTGAGCAAACTCCGGGAGATGGTGAAGGACGGAAACCTGGTGTGCTGCAGTCCATGGGGTTACAAATAGTCGGACACGATTTAACAGCTGAACAGTGATAAGGCTTATTTGTTAAACGTGTGAGTGAGCGGATCTCACCTGTGTGGCTCGGGAACACCGATCTCCTGTGTCCCCTCCGTCTCCCCTGCCTCTGAGGTGCAGCCCTGCCGGGCCCGTGGCACCTGCTGACCCCGCCCGCCTCCCTGCCCACACTGGGGCAGTCTCTGGTGTCAGACTGACTACCACGTTTCTGCAGTCCCCAAATTAATAGGTCAACCAGTGCAAGGAGCCCCAGATGCAGCCGCCCAGCCACTCCACTCATCCACAGGCAGGCAAAACGGTCAGCTGCCGCTTCGAGTGGCCCTTTGAAGTGGAACAATCCTCCAAGGGGAAATTATGCTCGGGAAGAGTCGGGAAGGCTCCACCTCTTGGGGCGATAACGCGACCGCACTGTCAAGACACTCGTCAGAACCCAATGTGATTACTTAATGCCTCTGAGCCGGCGAGCGCGGGGTGATGGCAGGGCGGGGGGGCCCACTCCCGTGCCTGCCGACTGCTGATGTCCCAGGCGGCCGGGCAGGGAGCAGGAGCTGGGCTTCCAGGAACATGGGGACCTGTCTGCTGAGATCCTCTCAAGGACCCCTGAAACTCCATAAAATTTTATTGAGTGAGCTGGTGGAGAGTGGCTGGAGTGAATGGCAGCTGGGGTTGGGGGTGGGCGGGGGACACCGTGGCCGTCTCCCTAGCTCCCAAGTTCCGATAGAAGGCACCCGAGCACACCTGCTGCTCTAGGACTAACTTGACCTTGAGCTTGTGAAGTGTGCGGCGAGGCGGCAGGGCCAGTGCAGACTTGCTGGGTGTGCGTGTGTTTGCGGGGGTCCTGCGTGGGGGGCCAGGCCCATCACCTCCTGCCTTTAGTGACCCGGGAACTCCGGGTGCTGAGCTCCACATGCAGCTCACTATCAAAGCCGGGTCCACCCACCCCCCAAACCCCAGATTCAGGGTATCGGTGGGTCGGCAGGCTCTGCCTTCAGAGCCAAGGGGCAGGCAGGTGTGTGGACGTAAGTGGGGTCAGCGCCTGCCCCGCTCTGAAGGGCAGCCTGGGGACCCCAAGCCCAGGGCCCACGCTGCTCCCGGGGGCCGGCCGCAGCACTGGCCGCCGTGTCCTGCCCTGCCCCGGAGCCGCTGTCGGGAGAGCGCAGGGCGGCTCTGGACCGGCCAGCCGTGCTGCCCCCCTGCACCATCCTGGGGCCCGCGGCTCTGAGCCCCTCCCCCTCCCCCTGACCGTCCCCGGCCTCCAGGCCCCGGGAAGCCATGGCACCACGGCTCAAGGAGTCAGCGTGTGGCTGCCCTGCCGTGGATGCCACATGACACGCACCGCAGAAGGTGACAAGCAAGCCTCCTCCCTCCTCGGAGCCCGGGCCCCTTCCCACCGCCTTGGTCCTCCCGCGACAGGCCTGCAGGGCAGTGCAGACTTCAGCGCCTTTCCAAAGGATGCTCATTGCGTCCGTTTATGAACGGTCTTAAAAGGAAGGCAGCTGTCCATGCAGGGCAGGGCCCAGGCATTCCACAGGGCACATCTGGTGGGATCAAAGCCACAAGGCCTCACCCCCTCCTCCCTCCTCCCCGTCCTCCCTGCTCCCCCTCCTCCCTCTTCTCCCTCCTCCCTCCTCTTCCTCTCCCCGCCCCCTTCTCCGACCCCCAGGCTCCAGGCCAGGACAGGGCCTCCCTGTGTGAGGAAGGCCTCTCGGCCTGTCCCTGCCCCTCCCCGGCCTGCCCACCCAGGCCCCTCCCTCACCTGCTGGGTCACAGCCCACCCCGCTCGGCCGGGGGGGGCGGTGCCTGCAGTCCCCAGCAGCTTCCCCACCAGGGTCACTCTCTGACCCCTGCCCATTCAGCCCATGGCTCCTCCTTTCTGGCCCCAGCCTGCTGTCACCTGACGCCCAAGGATAGGCTCTGACTTCCCCTCTCAGGCTCCAACATGGAAGCGGGGTTGGGGTGCACAGCCTGGCTCCACCACCTGGGGCCCCAGGATGTGAGCAGGAGGCCCGGAGCTCAGGAAGATGCTCTCGGGGTGGGGGCCCAGGGAGGGGAGAGCTGAGCCCTGCCTTTCCTTCACGCCCAGCCCCCACTCCCTCCTCCTCCAGGAAGCCTTCTCGGTTTCCCAGGTCTCCCTTCCCAGACGCATCAAGGGAGCCCAGCCAGACAGAGGACACGGCCCGCCCTGGGAGCTCAGGTCAGGTGTGTAGCGGGGACGCGGGCACAGACAGAGGGGATCTCGGATGACCATGGGAGGACCCCAGCGCTGACAGCCTTCCTGGAGTGACTTTCCTGGCCTCCGCTTCCTCACCTGTGAACCTCGGGACTTGGAGATGTGCCTGCCTTGGGGATTCGCGAAGCCAGGGATGGAGGTGGACTGCCCTCCTGGGGCAGCCCTGGGCGGGGAGGAGTATTCTTGGTCAGAGGGGGCGGCCAACTCCGGCGGGGGTCCCAGGCTCCTCCAGTCAGGTTTTTCTCCCCCAGGAGGGGCCCAGAGGGGGCTCACCTGGGTGGGGGGCACGGCAGACGCAGTGGCTCCCAGGCACAGCTGCAGAGCTGGCCTCACGGAGCAGACAGTCCTGACGGGCTCAGCTGCAGACCGGGGTCCCTGCCAAGACACCCCAGTGTCAGCAGAAGCCCGGTGGGGGGCTCCCCCTGGGTGGGGGTCTCGCACACACAGGCACAGAGGGCAGTCGGGGACAGGCCCCGGCCTGGGGAGGGACGGTGCCGGGAAGGCGTGGAGGAGGTGTTTGGGCCAAGCGGTGTCAGCGCCGCAGCCAGGAATGGCGGGTCCCCGTGCCGCCTGAGACAAACACCTGCCTGCCCCGTGGGGTCGGGCTGGGCGGGCTCCGATGCTCTGCGGGGGGCACCGAGGAGGGGGGCAGGGCCCACCTGCGGCCCCCCAGCGGCTAAGAAGCCAGAGACAAGCCGCAGGACAGAGCCAAGGCTCCTGGGAGCCACGGGGCCACGGAAGGCCAGCCCCTCACCCACAGCGAGAGGCAGGCCCGGGGAGGGCTGGGTTTGCCCACAATGCTGAGACGGACACAGCTGCTCAGACCCCCTGCCCTCAGGGGCGCGGTACAGGAGGGGGCCGCAGGAGGCTCCCTCGGAGGCTGGCAGGTCTCCCTGCTGCCTGTCTGTCGGCCAGCCTCGCCCTGACCCGTCCCGCCCTGCCGGCCCCAGCCCCGGACGGCGTGCCCAGGCCCCGGGCAGCTCTGGGCGCCCCTCCCTGCCGTGCTGACAGCAGCCGCCTCTGCAGGGCGGCTCTGCACAGGCAGGCCCCACACGGCCCTTCCCACCAGGGCCTGGAGCCTGGCACCTACGTCCCGCCCGCCTGGGGTCCCAGGCCCAGCCCAGCCCCGCCTGCCTGCCCACAGTGACGCTGACACCAGGAAAGCCGAGCTCAGCATCTGGCTTCCAGCAAAAAGCGCCGCTCTGATGACCCAGATTCGGGGCCTGTGGAAGGACGTCTGGGCCCAAACAAAAGAGAATCTCAAATTAGGATGCCGAGCATCTGCCCATCTGCTTGTGGAGGGAGGGACCCCGGGTCAGACGTCAGAAAATGACTTGCCCGGCCACAGAGCACCCCCGCGCCGGCGAGGCCGCCCGTGCAGGTGGGCAGCCGTGGGTCGTCAGCACAGTCCCCCCGCCCGCCCCCGCACGATGCCCCTTTGCCTCTGACCTCAGGTCTCGCCCACCCCGACTCACCCTGCACTGAGCCTCCTACGGGTGGTGACTGCGGGGGCCCCCTCGGGTGGGGCCTCCCTCTTGAGGCCTCCTGAGGCTCCCTCAGGGTGACAGCCCACCCCCTGGACATTCCTGGTGACTGAGCCACCTCCAGCGACACCCACTGCTGAGCCGGAACCTCGGCAGGGGGCAGTGACGCGGAGGCCCCCAGGGGTGCTGAGCCCCGCGGGCCCTGTGTGGAAACGGGGTGAGGGCCGTCTGTCTCTGGGCTTCGGGGCAGGGCAGGCCCATCCCAGGCGGGGCTTCTCCCACCCAAACAGGCCTTGCATCTCATAAAAATGCAGCATTTCTCTCGACCTGCCTGCCCTGTGCCCCCGAGAGGGCCTGGGCAGGTGGGTGGGCGGGGGCGCCTGGCCAGGGGCCAGACTCCAGGCCCTGGAGAGCGGGTGGTCAGGCTGATGGGGCAGGGCTGTGGTCTCAAGTGGTGCAAACACCTCTCACAGAGAATGGACAGACAGACAGCACGTGTCTCCTTCATCCTTTCGGGGATGCAGCCTGCGGCCAAAGGAATAAGTGGGAAGTGCAGCGATCTCATCATGGGGGATGGGGGGGTGAAGTGGGCGACGCTGGGCAGGCCTGGGCTACGGAGGATGCGAACCCCTGAGTCCTGACAAGCCCCTGGTGTCCTGACGAGCCCCTGGGTCCTGACGAGCCCCTGGGTCCCGGCGGCCTGCACTGTGCCCCCGGCCCCCTTGCTCAGCTGGGCTCTGTCCCCCCTGGAGCCCCCTCCCGGCCCTGCCGCCCCTGGAGGGAAGGAGGGAGGCCCTGAGCCAGCATGCCTGAGACGAGAAGAGAGGGCGCCAGGGACAGTGGCTGCTCTGGAGGGCAGTGCCACGGTCCCTGAGGCTCTCGGGGGGTCTTACTGCCCCCAGGTAAGCCCTGAGACAAAGCCTTCTCCTTTGGGCTGCGCCGTGCAGACCGAGGCTCGCAGGGCCGGGAAGAGCTGACCGCCCGAGTTCCCTGTCCGCTCTCCACGGGTCTGCCCGCCTCCCCGGCCGGACACCTCACTGTCCAAGGCTGCCCCGTGTTCTCACCCCTCAGCACGCCCCCGACCCCACCAGGGCCGACCCCAGGAGGCCCGAATGCGCCTGAAAGTGAGGAGAGAGCCCGGTGGTCAGGCCGGGACGAGGCATGGCTCCTGCCTCCAGCAGCCGCTCCCACAGCCGGGGGTCCGGGTGCCCAGGAAGGGGTCTCCCCGTCCACCTGTGCCCGAGGAGCCCACCAGACTCTGAGCGGGGGTGCGGGGGGTCCTTCCTTCCGGGCACATGGAGCTCGTCTGAGTGTGGGAGACCCCCGGCGACACTGCCCGCCCGGCCCCTCCCTCCATGCGCCACACAGTCCTGGGGCAGTGTCCCTCCACACGGGAGGCGGGGGCCCGGCCCAGCTCGCCCGGAGGTGCCCAGTGCCTGTGGCCGCCCGGGATGGATGGAGCCGGTTCAGGGGCCGAGCAGCAAGAGCCAGTGGTTCCGGGTGTTGCAGGTTGAAATGAGACGCCTCCTAAAATTCAGACGTTCCAGGTCTAAGCCCAGCTCCTCCGAATGTGAGCGTGTTTGGGGAAGGGGCTCTTGCGGATGTAGTGTGTTAAGATGGGGGCAGAATGCAGCAGCGGCCTCTACCTCCCCTCTGGCGGTCCTTCTAAAACAGGAGGGCTTTGAGGCGGGGACTCACACAGGGACGTTGAGGGCGGGGTCCTTCCACAAGCCCAGGAAGGCCGAAGCCGAGAGAATGAAGCCACCCACCCAACTGGACCTTGAACTTCGGCCCCCGGGACGGTGGTACTTGTGACACAGCCTGAGCACCCGAGCACCCAGACCTGGGACGTGGGCGGAGGGCCCTCAAGTAGCACGTGGGAGGTTCGCAGCACTAACCCGCCCGTCGTCTGAATGCACCGGCTTCGGGGACAGACAGGGAAACGGAGGCACCAGGCTGGGAACAGATTCACCCACAAGGCCCACAAGACCATGGTGGACTTGGGCCCGAATCCCAGCCTGTGACTCCCCGCCCGATCCCCGTCTTTCTTTCCCGCTGCATCGGGAGGCCCGTTGCACTGTCCGGTGGAGGGGCGCCAGTGCCCGGCACAGACGGAGAGGCAGCTGGACTTCGAGGGGGGCCGGGGGGATGCCCTAGACCCTGGGCCAGCGAGGTTCTGGGGCAGGGCAGTGTGCAGATGCCTGGCGGACGGAGCGCCCAGGAGGGCTTCCTGAGGGAGAGCACGCCAGTTGGAATGGAGGATGGGCAGGGCTGGCAGCATCTCTGAGCAAGGGGGCTGGGGCGGGCAGGTTAAGACAGGGCTGGGGGTGGGCAGGACAGCCATGGGCCTGAGACACTGGCCAAGGCCCTCCCCCATGCGTGACTGGCCTGTCCGCTCCAGTCAGCCCCGCGGCTCCTGCCGCCCTGAGTGCCCTGGGCCCCTCAATCCACGTGCTTAATCACAAAACAGAGAGCGTGTTATGAACAACCTGTTTCACATGAAAAAGCAAAGCCATTTGCACAGCCTCCCAGCCGGCACCCCCCAGGACCCGGTCAGCCTCTCCCCCCACCCCAGGCAGACGGAGCGCCCCCGCGCCTGATGGAGGGGGTTTCCTCGAGGTGGACCGCCAACGTCCTGCTGCTCTCAGCCTTCCCTGAGAGCGGAGGCTTTATAAGACGCGAAGTGGACCCTGTGGACGCTCACTGTCTGGCTGAGGGGGCAGCTGTGCCCCCCGCTTCCGCCTCC